GACACCACCTGTACACACTAATGAGCACAACTGTGCACCAGAGCCACTCTGGCACCTCCAATACACTTGAGAACTCTGCAGCTTTGTCCAACCGTAAGGGTTTTGTCCTGAGCAAGATTCTGACCTTGGGGAGGAAAAGGATGCGTGCAGCCTCCTGCAGCTCCCATCTGCTGGGTGTTAGAGGTCCAGTGCAACATGGAACACAGTAATTTTTAATTAAAAGAAAAATACACTCATGGCACTGCATCAGGTGGGTTCCTATAGTTTTTCAAGGGCAAAGGAAAAGGCTGATGGCTCCCTCTTGGGGAGCAGCTGCTCCATCTTCAATGTATTGTCAGTACAGGTAGCCCAGCCAGGGGGGAGGATGCATGATGATAAAAACCCCTGCACCACATGCAGAGTAGCTCCCAGTTGGTCACTCTGTGGCACTCCAAAACCAGCACCCAGGAGGACCAATACTTGTTTGCAGCTTGACTTGGCTCCCTTTCAAAGGAAGCATGCAGATTAAAAGCAGTTTTCCAAAAAGGATGGCAGAGAGATAATACTTAACTTGGGTCAATTAAAAAAAATAGATTACTCATCCAGGCCTAAAATCCTGGGAGAGAAGGATGGTAACCTCAAACAATTCAAGTCTAAGATCAAGAGGTAGAGATACCTATGTACTTCATCGTGAAGGAGTTACAGCCTTCTGTCTTACAATCTCATGTATTTCACTGCAGTTGACAATATAAAACCAAAGCTGCAATCTTCAATAGTCCAGAGAGAAAATTCTAACACTGGTGGTTTTGTTTGCACACAACAAGATTTAAGCAGATACTCAGCTTTCAATACTTACTGGAGAAAATATGTATGTTTTGCTGTATATTGAAACACTACCCTAAAGAATTTTGAGTTTCAGGTTAAGCATCTTCCTTTTTAACACAAAAGGCTAAATTTACATGCACACACTTTGAGCAGAATGAGCTCAAGGGAAGAAGTGGGTGCCCAGTTCACCAAGGGTCTTTAAAAAAGGATCACACTGCAGAACACAGGGCTGCAAGACCCAGAAACTCACAATGACTATTATTTTCTGATGAATGGGAATGATGTAACCTCAGCCAACAAATTACATCACGGCTGAGGTGGCTATTAAACTACATGGTGTTTCTTTAACTTTGCTGGGCTTTATTTGGAAACAAGGCTTAGAACTGCAAGGAAGATACTTATGTTGACAGTGTCAGGAAAATACTAAGGTCATTAGTCAATGCATAGCCATGTCTGGGAACCATGGGTAACAGGCTGGTCCTGGGATCCATGGGTTCTTCAGGCTCTGACAGACATGCAAGGAGTGAAATCAAAGTCACACAGGCAAAGCTGCTGCTGCCCCCAGCGCTCTGAACCCTCACCTCAGAGCCACCCTGCCCTCAGGAAGGGGGGTTGCATCTGCGTGCAACCAGCCCCAGGTAGCTCATCAGCAGAGCAGGGTGAACTCGTTTCATGCTCCTAAATGTGCTTGCCTGAAAAGCTATCATGGTTCAGAGGCTGATGCAGGAGCAGATCTGCTGTGCCAGCGGGGACAGCCAGTGCTCAGCACACCCAACTGCCACAGGCTTCAGCTGTCCAGTTTTCTGCCACACCTCCATTTATTTTCCCTGTGGTTCTTTCATTACAATTGCACAGTATTAAAAAGCTATAATTCTCCATATAGAATAGCACCAGCAGCAAGTAAACTCACAATTCAGCATTCAATTTCAATTTCCTCAGTCATGTTTTATGGCCAGCTACAGGCGGAATCTTCCAAATCCTTACTTGAATCAATAGCCTTGACCTCAGAAATACTCACAAGTAAAAATTAGTCTAACTGAGCCTCCAGTCAATCTGGGAGCCAAATTCTAAAGGTGTTACAAACTATAATATGGTGCAGCTGGTCAATGTTTTATTACTAGGGACTGAAGTTTACAGGAGTTGTATTTCTTTGCATATCAGGCAAGGCAAAATGCCACAGAGTGTGGACGTCAGACCAGTTTTCCAGTACATTACTATAACTAACTATATAGTATTCTATAGTTATTTATCCCAAGTTGCAGCAGATTCACTACATGCATAAAGTTTCCTAGCACATACTATAATTAAAATAAAATTAAATAGTTGCAATGGTTTCAAGGATTTCACCAGCTGCTCACTACAGTCCTGTGCCTGCACAATGAGGATTTAAAGTATATAAAATATGAAGAGTGAATGTATTTGGCCTGTTCCACAGATATTCACAGTTTAACCATTAAACAAGCATTTCTTTAGAGGCTACTGAGAACCACACAGAACCCCCCACTCCCACACAGGAAAACCAGCATTACAGTGTCTTGCTTAGGATCATGCAATCACCAGGCAATCCCAGGGAAGGTCTGACACCCTCTCTCACTGTCAGCACTGCCAAAGAGTTGCATCTTCAGCTCCTGGTTTGGGAATATAAACTGATACAGGTCTGGTTTGCATTCTGTAAATGGTAATTGAAAAACTGAAGTTAGGCTAAAAATAAATTGTACTTTGCTAGATAGATCATTTGGCTATTTTTGCAAGTATTTTACCCATCGGGTGGAGTTGCTCCTGCTGGGCTGAAAGCAGCAGAACAAGAGCAAGGCTGGCCTCACGTACTTGGGACTTAAGCCACTGAGAATCATATGTCCTTTCCATAAGAGGAAGTAAGATTTTTCCCTTCCTCTATATTCACCACCACCATCTTTAAGAAGCAGCTGTATTATGTTTGTTACACTAAAATGGCTGAGCCTTGATGTGTGATTGATTTCCTCACTGCTATCCACGTTCAGGCCACAAGATAAGCACCAGCCTTAAAGAGCTCCATCCGTCATCCTCTGGAGCTGCTGCAGTTTAGCACATGACTCAGTAGCAGCTGCTGGCACAATTTGGTGTGCGTGTGTGCATGCACTGCCTCTGCCTCTAAATAGTCAGTTTTCACACTCTGGACATCTTAAATTACCTTTGGGGGAAAAAAAAAAAAAAAAAAGATGAACAAAGCATTTAACAGCTGAATGAGAAGTCTCAAACTTATAAATACAGTTTTCATTTACTATCAAATCAGGCTCCATATGGAACTTTTGCTAACAAAGCAGCCTCTGTTGGGGAGTTCTTGTTTTTGAAACAGCACCAGCAAAAGTCTCACCATAAATTCAATTATAGCAGCACAAGTGCTTTGGCCTGCTTTCTTCACCAACTTGGAATAAGGTTTTGCTGCCAAACTGTGCTTATGCCATAGTAGCTTGGAAGGTTATAGTAGCAAGGACAACGCTTTGGGTGTATTTACCTGCAATACAGCAAGTTCAGGGCTCCCCTCCTGCAAAGGGACAGACTCAGCTGCACCTAGAACAACATTTGTTTTCTACAGCTTAACGCATGCCCCAGCAAGAGTTTGCAGAAGCAGCATGGACCAAACTCTCCTTTTACTAGATGAAAGAGATGCTATCTGAGGCTTGTGGGTTTGGGTTTTAAGAGTTTTCAATACCCACATGTTGTTAGTGATTTATGATCTCAGACCCAAGCTATTGCATAGGCTGCACACCAGCAAAGCCAGTGACAGAATTCAGGCAGATCCTCCTCTCTCTCCTAACCCGTCTGGGGCACAGCAGACATGTCAAACCATGCTGCCCTGGAGCCAGTGACAAGCTCATCAACTAAAATCTGGTTCCCTTTAGCTTTAAAACCCTTGTATCACAAAAGCCATTAGATGCTATGGGTGACTGTGCAGGGATTGGTTTTGGTTTGGTTTTTTAATTGAAGCCATTCTATAATCCTGAAATGCAGCTCTGAAAATAAAAGGTGTGTAATGGAAATGTATCAAATTCATTAAGCCAGTATTAGCTCTGTAGAAAGCCTTGGCAACCATCCCTTTTACCAAAAGGTGTAAAAAAGTTGACATACTAAAATTAAAAAAGGTAGCATCAATAACCAAAAAAAGTTTCAACCAGTGTTAATAAAACTCCCTTTAAGTCACAACAGTTTCAACAGGCAAAGAGTCCCAATACAGGCATTGTAAAATAATAAATTGACTCCTATCCAAATATTATCAAATCAGTCTAAAAATGACTCATCCACACTGTTGTCATTAAGAATTCACTTTGTCATCAGATGCCGATATTGTTGCTCCAGGAAGTGTGGAGTATTAACTGTGCCTTAGCAATTAAACAGAGGCCTTAAAAAATTGGTTCGTCAATATTAATGCAAAAGATAGTTCCTTACGTAGAAGTACTGTGCTTGCCAGACAAGTAAGGTAATACTTTAGGTATAAATCAAACAAATTAAAGCAGAATTATACCACAGTTTTCCTTGAAGACTTAGGGTTTGTGTGTTGCTTCTGTCAATGTTTAGCAAACTTAAGAAGCAGAACCTTTGGTTCTTTTAGTCAAGTAAAAATAGTCTCGTGTAACCACAAAAATACAACTTCCAGAGAAAATGGAAGTCCATCAAGAAGTCCACTTTCAATAAAACTGAGGTAGTACTGCTCTTTTATTATGTGATGTGTAAGAGATTTAGATACAAATTGTCATCTACCACTCAGTTGACTGACAGGTACAGTAATTTTATAAAACAATCCCAACATTTAGTTTGAAACCCAAAAAAAAAAAAAAAAAAAAAAAAAAAGGAATGATCTGGACTCATTCACTAAGAGCTTAAATGGGAATCAGCCATATTACAAAAAGCTGTTGGTTTTGTTGGTTGTTTAGAACCTTTTATCGGGGGATTAATGCGTTTCTAGTTAACACTGCTGTTCATCTTGGTAGAAAACCTTAAAATTATTACAGCCTAAAATTTCAACAATGTAAACAGCACTACACACAGTACAGACCTGCCCTGACAGATGTAGTATGAAAAACTTAAATCTGGCACTGTATAATTTAGCAATGTTAATTTAACCTAACTAAAAAGATCTACATTGTGCAAGAAATATCAGACTTACTTATACTAATCTGAAGTCTTAAAAAAACAAAACAAAAAACAACCCCAAAATGCTTAACTTGTAGCCAGGGTCAAATATTTCAGGGCAAGAGTAAAAGGAATAACCAAAATTAAGAAAGTGCCTAAAACATGATACAGCATTTTAGAGCCCTTTCAAAGACAAGGCAGAAAAAGGTGTAAAGTAGAAAAATCTGGAGCCTTGGTAATTTCCAGAAACATCCAGAGTTTACATTTCATGAAGGGCAACAGGTTGCTTCCATCACTGCTGCTTCGATGCTGCTAAGTCTGTTCCGCCGCACACAGGCCCTCTGTGTCCGAAGACAGAATACATTTGGTTTCCTCTTCCTTTTTCCTTCGCTCCATTTCCCACTCCACAAAGGTATCGAAGAGACTCGGCCAGGCCTCGTCTTCACTGTAGTTGCTAAGGTCCGGTCCAATCACCTGAGTAAAATTTAGAAACATGTTCCATGTGTCCCGGGAGATTCCCTTGATTCCTGAGGGGTTCTCGACTAGGAAGTGTAACCACTGGTCCAAAATGGGGGGCTTGTTTTGGGTGAAGACTAATTTCCAAAGGGCAATGGCTATTTCCCGATGTAGCGACCTCTGTCCTTCTTCAGAGTCCAGGCCAAACTGGAAGGTGAAACGATAGAGATCCTTGAATTTATCTTCCTGCTTGGCTTCATTTAAGAGGCTGGGGAACCTTGCACAAATGCCATCAATGCTGTCTGCGTTTATTGCTTTGCAGCCTTCAAAAAACTCCTTCCTATTAAGCAAGAGAAGAGAAATTAGCATGTGCACTTCACCCTGACCTCACGTGCTGAACACTTCCCATCTCCGTTCAGCCACGTCAAATCAGAAGAGGGTTATCTGGGTAAGACAAGGTGTCCTCTCAGCCCAGGTGGCACAAGGATTTTGGCAACAGGAGCTGATGGAAAGAGACACATTTCCAAGAAGTTCCTCATGGCCTGGGGAACCACATACACCCCTCAGATCCAGTGGTTTTTGAAAGATTTTGCTGTCTGGCTTTCTGATGACTCAATACTACCACAACCCAGTGCCTCTCACATTAAGAAGTGAATAAAATCCACCATAGAAGAAATAACAAATGTTAGACACCACCACATCTATGCCCTGAATCAAGCTGACTTATATACAGTGCTCCAATATTGCCCGTGTCTAAGCACCCATACTCTGGGTGAGCTGTTCTCAAGACACAGCAGTTCATTGGCAGCTTTCCTGTGAGTTTTTAATTGCCCTTCCAGCCTGCAAAATAAAAAGGGTGCCAAGAGTGCTGGTCAGCAAGGCACCTGCTGAGAGTGGAAGAAAGCATGGCATGACAGAGCATGGGCTGCAAGGCAACACAAACACTGCTCAAAGCACCACTGCTGTACTAATTAGCCTGCTAATAATCTGACCAAGTGGGTAGATGGTAGCTCTGATTTCTCTAATGCTCATGAGCAAGTGTTACAACCAGCCAGTATCAACCAAAGCCAGCAGACTGACACGGGATGGGCTGGAAGGAGGGCAGGAGATGGGGCAGCACGCAGGAGAACAGAAGACCACGTTGCTTTCCTTGATTAAAGAAGTCAATCAGCACCCATACCATGGGGTGTGCCTTTAAACAAAGGTACCTTCTCATCACTAGATTTGCCCTCTCCAAAAAAATCAAAATGACATTAATAAAACTCACGGTGGTTGTGCAGAATCACAGACACTACCTGCAATTCTTTAACTGTGTTAACAAATACCTGCCCCATCAGCAGTCAGCAAATCCACATGTGCATTCCAGAGTAACTCACCCATCTGACACCCCCCCAATCCACAAAGACTCTGAAGATGCTGGAAAAGCTATCTGTGTTCAGTGCACAGCACAGGCTTGGTTCACGGCTCAGAATACCAAAGCGATTTTGAAAGTTGTAAGCTGAGTAAAAATAGGAAGCATTACTCAAAATAAAAGATTCATTCTCAGTAAGTCCCTGTAGGAAATCTTGCCCTTGCCTGGACACTGATAATCAAGTTGGGGAAGGCTGTTGTAGTTTTGGAGGTTGGTTGGTTTGTTTTTATTGATAAGTTTTAGCCATTCTGTTGTTTCCTGAAGGATCACACATGCTATAAGCTAGCTGACTGACCCCCTTGTCCAGGACAGACAGCACTTTAAATACCAATCACTTGTCAGCCATTATGAAATAGCTACCAGTGTCAAAACCCTTGCATTTCCTTCCCTCTCTACACTGTAACAGGATTACTCTTGGAGAAAGACATTAAGTGTAACACTGGTTGGGCAGGAACAATTCTTAGGAAGCAGCCTGTCATTCTTTCACAGACTGATAACAGAGCTGGTAGCAATTATTAAGGAATCTCACATTACTTTAAAGCAAAAATTAGGTTTTGTGTCCAATCTCATCACCTGGAAACAGCAGAATTGGTTTTAGTAAAATAAGAATAAATTAATGTCTACAGAACCTCATTACACTGTTCATCTTTAGCAGTATAAAGTCCAAAACCACTTTTGGTTCTGAAACACACTGTGAGGAGAAGGGGAAAAAGAGGACAATACAAAGCTTACCTTCTCAGCAGTAGGAATTAATCTGATCAAAATGCTAGTGTTAGAAAAAAGAGGTAAGTGAAGCTAATAAGGCTGCCTCTCCAACATACAGATGACAGGATATACTTTAACATATGAAAATAATTACAAGTTCTTCAAGAACTAACCTTGTAAATTTGCACATGGTAGCAGCCTGGAATTTCCAAGCCAAAACTAGCACTTTAAATTCAGTGGGATCAACACAGAGGTCATTGCAAAATCGTTCCATTCCTTCTTCCAGTATGGCATCTTCCCGTTCATCCTTATACCTCCTAAATAACTCCCCAATCCTTTGGAGTGAAGATTCTTCTGCGCTGGTAACAGGGTCTTTCTTTGTATCTCCAGAAAACGTTGGAGGCTGACTAGACTCTACAGCAGCATCCGCTTTCTTTGTCCCATTCACAAGTATATCTCCTGGAGACTTCCCACAAGCTGAACCATGGTCGTCTTTGTGGACTGCGCTTCTCTTACTATGAGACTTGCTGCCGGATTCCCTTTCCCCATTTTTGCTGCCGAGGGTAGAAGAAGGATTCTTGCACTTCGTGACACACTGGCCCATGATGTTGCAAGCCCAGCTTCTAGAGCAGTCCCCTTGCTGTCGGACACCCTCGCAGCTGCTCTTCAACACATCTCACCATGCCATTAGTGGTAGTCAACTGACCTGAAAAGCAGTTTCAGAGTCAAATTGCTGGGTTTTTTCCACAAAGAATACTATAAGTATTAAATGTGGGATAACATTCACCAGTAAGAGACCGACTTCAGGATGTTTAAGTTGTGCATACTGAAAAGGAGTAGTGTACAGACGGTTGGCATATGCCATAAATTTCAGGCAATTTCAGGCTGTTTTACCTAGAAATCAATGCAGCTCACTCAGTGGCTGCAGTATACTAACGGGTCCTAATAAAGGAAATTCCTAAAATTCTTACTGTAACATAGGTTACAAAGAGGTTGATTCATGTACAGGCTTCATCAAGACAGACTACTCTAACCCAGAAATATTTTAAAGGAAACGGTTTTTAAAAGTATACCCACATTTCATATATAGAATATAACACACTGAAACAAAGTGTGGGGTGGGGGGAGGGCAGGGACAACCTGGCAGAGTTAAGCATTTAGCCTGTACCTTCAGCAAATGAGCAAAAGGGGTGGTTTTTGGTTTTTTTTTT